ATCAATTCTTCTATCCTCCCTAGTCATTGTCCAACTCTCTGATGCATAACAAGTGATTGCAAAGACCATGGCCTGTATCAGATGCACCTTAGTCTTCAGAGAGACACCGTTGCTCTTCAGAACTTTGGAAAGGTCTGTCTCTACAGAGACAGACTTACTCTCTTATTAGTCCATGGTATGTTCAATATTATCCAGCACCACAGCTCAAAGGCACCAATTCTTGTTCTATCATCCTTAGTCTTTGTCCAGCTTTCAGACGCCTAGCAAGAAATTACAAAGGTCATGGCCTGGATCCAGCACACCTTAGTCTCCTGACTGACTTCGTTGCTCTTCAGTACTCTGGAGAGGTCTCTGACAGCAGACTTTCCCAATGCAATTCGTCTTCTGATTTCCTGGTTGCTGGAACCAAGAGAGTTGATTATGGAGCCAAGCAAACTGAAGCTGTTAACAATCTCATATCTTCACCATCTATCATTTTGCTTCCAATTGGCCCAGTGGTGAGAATCTTTGTTTTTTTGCTGTTGAGCTTCAATCCATACTGAAGGCTGCAGTCCTTGACCTTCTGTAGTATGTGCTTCAGGTCCTCCTCAGTTTCAGCAAGCAGGGTTGTGTCATCTGCATAATGTAGGTCGCTGATGAGTCTTTTCCAATTCTGATGGCACAGTCCTCCTCATAGAGCCCAGGCACAGCCTCCTGGATGATCTGTATATAGATTCAAAGGGCTATTGGTTCTCATACAATCATTTGTATACATTGTGTTTTCTACAATCTTTCATTTAAGCTGTGTTTAGTATAATGTTCTTACAGTGGTGAATAATGAATAATGCTGCTATGAACATTGGTGTACAAGTCTCCATTTGTGTCTCAATTCTAATACCCTTGAGGTATATTTCTAGTAGTGAAATAGCTGGGTCAGATGGAGTTTTTATGTTCAACTTTTTTAGGAAACACCAAACTGCCTTCCAGAGTGGTTGTACCATTTTATAATCCCACCAACAGTGTCTGAAAGTTAAATGTCCAACCACCACTGAATGGATCAAGCAATTGTGTATCTGCACAATGAAATATTACACAGCACTCAGGAGCAATGATTTCACAAAATACTACCTAACTTGGGAAAGACTGGAGAGCAGTCGTATCTGAGAGCACTCAGCCTCATAAGGCCAAACACTGCAGAAGATCATTATTGTAAAAACAGAAGGAAAAGTAGTGAATTGGAAGCAGGAGTGACATCCACTTCCTAAACAACATGCCTCTGGAAACTCTATGAACCTGATAAATGATGATACTTATAGAAAGACTTCAGGCCTTTTGTTCATAGGGTGTTTAAGAGTTGTGCTCGACTTGACGGCAATCAACAACAACAACTAGTAAAACATGTCTGGGGACCCAAGGAAGGAAGTGGTGGGCGCAGAAATCACAGGGTGTACAGTTCAGTGGGCAGAGGGACAAGTGAAGGAAACGGGAAGGATCCGGCAGGGACCTAAAAAGACGGGGTAATGATGGGCAAGGCCCAATGGGGACTAATTTTATAAAACATAATGCGCGGGAATGTTTGTGTGAAACACAATGTGTATGAACTTTGTAACCTATATAAAATAAAAATTAAAATGACAAAAAAAGAGAAACTTTTTCAATTTGGTGTGTGCTCTTTCAAGTAAAGTTTCCATTACTCCCTCCAACCTCGGGCCCCACCTGTTTCCTGAGGTGGGTTTGGATGAGTTTGTGTCTCAGGAACATCTGACCCTGCAGCGCTGTGGACTCACTGCTGGCGCAGAAGTACACGGCTGAGTCCTCCAGCTCCGTGGGCTCGATCTCCATGCTACACCGTGAGTTCTTGGGACACTGAGCTGAAAACCGCTCACTGGGCATTCCTGATTTATCACTGGGTTCTTTATACTGAAAATAAACCATAAACTTGAGTTCTTCTCCTGGCTTCTGACGATACCAATAAACAAAATCATGTCCCTTTATGGGGACACACTCCATCCTTGCTTTCTGCTTTGTCCCTCGGACCAGCTGTCCTGGAGTCTGGGTGACCTCAGTGTCCACGGAGCCTGTGGAGGA